TCTTGATTATTAAAGCTTCTTTTGTTAAACCCGTAACAAAAAACTACGCCAACATAGCATCTTTTCGGATGCTAATTTGTGGCTGTCCTTTCACAACACGGATTGACAACAAAATCTTTCATCTGAAACTCAGTTTTGTTGCATGTACACACGAATACACATGTGTATATGCATATGCCATACGGATACTCACACACATACCCCACACATCATTTTGTTATAAATGTTAGGGGCCAAAAACATTTGAATCTTGTTCATCGGTAGAATGTACTTTTAACTTGTTTCTTTGAGTTTGATTATCTTTGTCATGACTAGCTTTAAAGAATCTCAACCTTTTGATATCAAAAACGAAGTAAAATTAGTTTATTGAATAACATTCTTTGGTCATGGAACAAGAACCAGATATCACCATGGATATTCCAAGTAATGTTCTCGCCGTCCTTGTAAATATATTTAATCATCTGATTATTCCAATCTACATTATCACAACACCCCAATTAACAAAACTACACGTTAACTATTTTTAATTTAAACACAGAAAGAATGAAAGGGCATAAAAGTCAGATTTCGAAAGGTGAATTGGTCTCTTACACATTTACAACCAACAACAAGTACACAACAATTCTTTTTCTATCAAACAAATTGTAATCTACATTTCACAAAGAACCCAATTAGACATAAAACTTCCTTATCAAGAAACAAATTACATCCCAAAAGGAAATTACCAAATCGCCCTCAACTTCCAGACCCATCACGGCTAGTACTCGCCTCCCCAAAAGAAACCGAAGCCAAAGACTTTGAAGCCCATGCAGCTTTTGCATTCATGGCTCCATGCAGGTTGCTTCTCTTGCAAGGCTCAGTCAATGAAGTGAATAATTGTATTGCACGATTCATGTAAGCCAATGGGTGCTCCCACAATGTTTTTAACCGAATGTTTACATTCCTTCTTCTCCAAGAAACAAGTGCACATGTGATGATAAACGGATAACCTAAGTAAAACAACCTTAAAACCACAAAAATGGTGGCTAATGTTAAGTATGTTTCGTGTCTGAACATGTTTTCGGGTGATTTTGCCCATGAAAAAGGGCAGTTTTCTGGCTCGTTGATGTTTTGATTTGTGTGTTCGTGTATTGTTTCACCAAGGGATGTTGCATTAACAGATTCGGCTTTAATACCTATAAATAAAATAAGATTAATGTTACATGATAATCATCTATTTGTAAATTTACCATTTTTATTAGGTCTAATAAAAAAAAGGAAGTCAATATCAAAAAATAATCACTTTTTCAACTTTCCATTTTTGGTTATTTTTGTGATTAGCCCTTTGTTAAGGGAAATTTTGAGAAGCACAACCAATTATAGGCATCTTATTGAAAAAAAAAACTCTATTAAATTCTTTGACTTTTAAAACCTCCATATTGCGTCTTTTCAATAAGATGCCTATAATAGGTTGTGCTTTTCGGACATTCCAAAACATTTAATATATGGGTTTTTTTCGTATGCATGAAATAATGCAAGGTTTTAAACATTCAGAAACTTAATATCATTCATGTGGATTGAAATAATGCGATGTTTTTCTGACATTTTCCTTTTTTTAACATAAATCCCATAAGAAATTAATTAATTAAAAAGTGAAGTTACCTGTAACATTAGTGTAAAAAGCCACAAGAGAAGTAGGGGTTCTTGAGCCATGATAACGAACACGCATTGTTGAGTTCAAGACAAAGAGAGTAGGAAACCCATGAACACCATATTTCGAGAGTATGCTGTATGCAAATTTTATGGTGTTATTCATATATTCAAATTTTAAAAAAATAAAATAAATAACCAATCAATGGGTAAAAATGTAACCTTGGCCTTATGACAGATTCCTCAATTGCAAAATGAGCTATGGAAGGATACAAGGAAGACATTTGGGATAAAGTTGGTCTAAATGTTCTTGAGAAAGGGCACCATGATGCATAGAAGAGGACAACAACGTAATTTCCAGCATTCTTATGAACCATACTTAATGCCTTTTGCAATGACGTTTCATCTCCCTGAAAATAAAGATTTGCAACCAACATTCAAATGAACATCATAGTTTCGTGTAATTGAAATCCATCAACTAATGATGAAAATCAAATTGAATACATTAACCAATGTGATCATTCTAATACATAACAACGAAATACAGAAAGCTAACTCGTATATCTGAAATTCGGAAAACCCCCAATTTTATTATGTAAAATCAAAGAGCAGCTGTATGATAAATCGAGAAGTGAATATGTGAGCTTTCAAGTGTGCGTACGTACCTCAATAACAGCAAGAACACCGAAAGAATAATCAATCCCGTTCAAAGGACAAACCGGAGCTTGGGAACCAAAAATTGAATCGTTAATCGATTTGGGATGACAAATAGAATTAGAAACCCTAGGGTTCTCATCTGCGCATGTTAGCCTAGCAACAATCACAATTAGAACGAACCCAAATTGAGAAATCCTTGTTGGACTCATGAGTTTTGATGATTTCGACATATTTATACACAGGTAAACAGAATCAATTGAAAAGAAAAAAACCCTCAATATTGAAGAACAGAATGAGCCTCAACGGGTAATGTTGAGGCTATGAGATTGAAATGAATTTGGGTATGAATTGAAAACCTTTGATAATTTTGAATTTATGGGAAAAGGGTAAACGAAGAAACCAAAAACAGCGAATGGGTTGTGTTGGTGTGAATCAAACGAGGGGTTTTTTGCGTTTCAGAGTCTTGAGAGAATGATAATATTGTTACCCACTTGGAAAAATAGATTTTTTTTTCTTTTTTCTTTTTTGGTAGGCTTACATTTTGGAATCTTGGTCAGTCTACTACATAGACATCTAATATTAACAAAATAATTATTTAGAAGAGCAGATGCGAACTAGAACAAGAATCAATGTTATAACATTAACATTAAAAATGTATTCGGCTGTATTTTTTGAAATAATTATTTGATTAGTATGGTTGTTAGTTACAATAACTAATTTTAATGTATTAAATAATTGAATTGTTTATTTTCTTATTTTATTATATCCATGATTTTCTTATACCATGTTTTATTATGGCTCATCTACCTTGATTTACCATCTACTAAACAACTAAAAAAGAAAATTATATATTGCGGAATTATTCTTTCTGTACTGTGAGATTGTTTTTCATATGCTACGAAATTGTTAACGTGGAAATCACACATTTTTATCAAAAAAGTTAAGAAGTTTCTTTTTTGTCGTTGTGAGAATAATCAAATATCAATTTCACACAAAAAATTATTAATGCGAAAATTGAATGTTAGGTTGAAAGATTTTTTAAAAAGATTGTATAAAGTTGAGGAAATGAAACCATCTTTTGAAGTTATGAATCTGCAATACGAAATTGGTAATCATTTTATGTAAAATTAAAATAAACAGATGACCATCTTACTATTAAAAATCTTATGCTATTATAATCGTTTTTATGAACTTCTCATCTTATTACTTATATACCCTATCTTTCCCCTTTATGCATATTATATAAATAAATTAATAGCCATTTTTCACTCTTCACTCATGCATTGTTCAGTCGTTCACTTGGATTATGAGTAGCCACATCAGCATAACACCATGTTTTACCATTAGGACAATAATACTAATAAAGGAAAAGAGTCCACTTATAATTAAAGCTTTTTCCTTCAACATTCAGTTTCAAAAGAGATAACTACTGATTCATGATATTTCAAGAGTCTTTAACAATATCCATGACTATGTACACGTCACCTTAGACTTAGTCAAACCACAGATAGATATGCATATGCTATAGCTACAACATGTTGACTTGGCCACTGCAATTCGGGCATAAAGAACCAATTCCACCACCTTGTCCTTGTACTTCAGGCTGCTGCATATGGAATTCATTTCTACACCATGCACATACACCTGTAATTACATTTCTACCCCCCATTCCATTCTTTCCACTCCAAAACCCCGAACCAAAACCTTGATCCATCCCAATAATCCCTGTATTATTATTATTATTATTGTATGGAAAAACCCCAGAAGAAGCCCCTTGAAGATGATGACGATGTGGATTCATGATATGTTGAGATCTACCTGTTAGGAATCTGAATTCCACAGGTTCAGATCTACTACTTGATGATGATGATCTGAACCCATTCAGATTAAAACCAAAACCATTGTTATTATTATTATTATTATTATTATTATTATTATACCTTTCATCAACTCTAAAAACTCCATTACCACTTTGTTGTTGATTAGCCACAACTTGTGGATAAACCATATTGGCATTATTATGAGCAAAACCCTGAGTTTCAATCTCATTGTTGATGTTAACCATGGTCAAATTGGTTTGAACATCATCTTTTTTCTGGTTCAAATTGACTGTATTTTCATACAGACCAATACCATGTGAGGAGGAGTTGCCAAAATTAAGACTTAACTCATGGATGTCTCTTTCTTCATCGAATTTAAACGCATCCAGTGGTGTGGAATATGAAGAACTATTCCCAAAAATATCATCTGAAACCACCGAGGTTTCAGTAATGGAGAAATGATCAAGCAGTCCCCTTTCAGACCCCTCATGGGCATTTTCGTAAATACCAGTTACATCATCATCTTGGAAGCTGAATTCTTGCTGGTTCCCAGTGGGGACAAGTGAACAAAATTCAAGATTTAGGTCGTTTTGACTGCTGCCCAAAGAAGGAATCTGGAAGTCGTCTAAGTTGACTTCTGTTGACCTGTTTAAAGAAGAAGCATTGTTGATGATTACATCATTCTCAAGCTCAAATTCTTCCATAATCATTTGTGTCTCAGGTTCCTCACCCTTGCTCTTGTTCCCAATATCTTCAACTCTTCCATAACAAAATCTATCTTCGTCAAAGTCAAACCCTAGTTTTTGAGGAGAATCTTTCAGGCTTGTGTTGTGTGAAGAATCAAGGAAAAGGGTTTCTGAATCAAAAAGCTTATTCACTTCAGCCACACGATCCTCATTTATAAGTTCCTCTTTTTCAGATGTCAAGTCATCAAAAGGACTACAAATGTTGATGTTTTCCTGAAAGCCCTTTTCTTCACAGATCTTTGATGATGGCTGAACCCTAATTTCAGAATCTGCAAGATTGAGCACCTCAACACTATCTTTCTCAATACTGTCTAATAATTCATTTGTAGATTGAAGAAGAGGACTGTTTTCAGAACTTATTCCTTTTTCAAGAATGCATTCTGGATTCTCATCAACATGTGCATCTTCACCATTGGATATACCAACTATATCTTTCTCAACAATATCAATGGAATCATCCAACCCTTTATTGCAATTGTCATCAATACAATCAACTGTTACAACACAACTTTCAAGCTTCCCACTGCTTTCATCAATAGAAGCTTCATGGCCTAAAGAGAAATCAGATTTAGATTCGGAAACATCAGAAGATTTGTCTCTTTCAAGGAATTCATTTTCACCTTCATGACACTTCTTTTCAATCTCACCACCAGATTCTTCAACTAAAACATCTTCATTCATGTTAAGGTCACGAACATCATCATTGAATTCTGATTCTGTTCCAGAAATTATCTTATGATCACTTTGAGGAGAAGCAGATATAAGTTTATCATCAAAAGGTGCATCATCAGTTTCCTTTTCAATCGCACCACTAGATTCTTCAGCTGAAACATCTTCATTCATGTTAACATGTTCACCCTGATTATCATGATCCAGAATGTTAAGCTCGTGAACATGATCATTGAATTCTGATTCTGTTCCAGAACTTATCTTTTGATCACTTTGAGGAGAAACAGATATCAATTTATCACCAAAAGGTGCATCATCAGTTTCCTTTTCAATCTCACCACCAGATTCTTCAACTGAAACATCTTCATTCATGTTAACATGTTCACCTTTATTATCATTATCCAAAATGTTAAGGTCATGAACGTGCTCATTGACTTCTGATTCTGTTGCAGAACTTATCTTATGATCACTTTGAGGAGAAGCGGATATAAGTTTATCACCAAAAGGTGCATTATCAGTTTCCATTACAACATTCTCAGGAACTTCAGTAAACAATACAGGGTCAACAGTCTTTTCTGCAGTTGGAGCTTCTGATGCTTCACAAGTCTGGGTTTCATTTGTCTCATGTGTCCCAATATGTTCATTATACTGGTTCCTTTTATTAAATGTTGTATTGCAAAACTGACATTCAAAAATTCCACCTTTTACTACATTCCATTCAGAAACTGCAGAATCAAGTTGAGATCTTTCAGTTTTGTGGGCTAACACCTGGTGGTCAAATAGATCAACCTTCCCTTCAAAGATAATGAAGCATTTGAGGCACTTGAAAAACTCTTCTACTTTTATATCAATGGGATCCACAATGTTGGATTTGACTTCCTTCTTAAAGTCTCTACTTGACAGTGCTAATACAATAGGCCTGCTTCTTCTTGTATCTACTCGAACAGAAACATCTTTCTGCTATGGATAATTGAAAAGAAAAAAAGTTAATAGAAGCAACTGAGAAAAGTTTATAATATAAATATATAATGATAAAGAGGGGAAAGAAAAAGGACTAAGGAAAACAAAGAACAGAGGAAAAAAGAAAAAAGAAACTAACTGCAGATACCAACTTACATTCATAGAAGCTCCTTTTGATCCAAAATTATGACGATTGTTGCTTGGAGTGAGAGTTGGTTTATCCAAGTTTTTTTCTCCGAGAAGGGAAAGCAAGTACATAGATACTTCCTTGAACGACTCAAATTGCATACCACTAGGGCTGTTTATCATCAGAGTACATTCAAGAAGCATATAGCTATTAGATTCAAAGTTAAAACATGAATAGAAATGAAAAAACTATACCTACATGATAAAAACTGAAACTATGAAAGAAAAGGGGAGAAAACAAACCTTATGTAACGACGACAGAATAACCAAACAAGGTCTGATCTCTTCTTGATAGAGAGGCTCAGCTTCCAGCCTTTGGGCAAAGCATCTCCAAAATAGCTTGCATCGACGACCTTCCTCTTCTTTGTACTAGTCCCCCACTCTCCATTCAAACCTCCCAAAAACCCTAACAACTCATCTTTAGTCGACAGTCCTTCGGTCCTCCTCCTAATTTCGAGCCCGTATGGATCCTCCAGCATCCCCAAATTCTCCAAGTTTACTTTCACGCCTCTACTATTCACCATTTCTATATCTCCAACAGCATCGTAAGCAACTACTTTCTTAACTGTATTATTACGCATTCTCTTGGCGTCCGGAGAATCAATGAAAACCGCATCATCTTGCCTTCGTGGTCTCCCTCGTTTTCGATTCGTCTCGGGATTCAATGATTCAGGCACTACGACATTGGTGTCTAGTTCGACTTCAAACGGAACTAACTCCCCAAAACTATGATCTGATTTAAAGAGCTCCTTCAACATACGAATGATCTGAGAGTTTTCGGCTTGTTCAGCGTCATTAATGTTGTTGGGAGTGGGTGTATGTGACGAACGTAGGCGAGGCGTACGGCGGTGAATGGTGGTTTTGGTGGACGTGGAGGACTGGGCGGGGGCAAGGCGAAGGCGTGAGTAAGTTTGTTTACGACTACCGGCGGATTCATTGAAAACTGACCGGTCGATTTTGGGGATTACAACGTCGTCACAGCGGTTGCGATCGAATGAGGAATTGGAGCACATGGAGAGGGAAAATAGTTCTGATTGGGAGAGAAGGCTAAGATCGATGATGGGGATAGAGTCTAGTGGGAGAGGCGGTGGTCGATCGGGATCGACGGTGGCGCTAGCGCCGGTGGTGGTGGTGGTGGCCATAATTTGGGTATTTTACGGCTTACGGGGTTGTTGTGAAGGGTGCCAATTTTTACTCGATGAAATTTGAAAAGAAGTACATGTTAACCGGTTGAGTTAAATTGTGACTAGGTTAACTCTTTGGGTTACCATACACTGGTACTTACCAAAAAAAACATATAAATCTATATAATACTATTGGAAAAAAAAAAAATACAAAGTAGTTTTTAACTTCTATTTATATTATACTTTTTCTTATTCCTTATTACAACCTTACATATACATATGTTCATTATTTTCTATTAGAGCATTACGGTGAAGATTTTTGGGGTTGTAGATTACCAAAAGAGTTCAAATCAAACATTAATCATGATAAGTTTTTCTATGATTATCTTGAAACCGTCTTCCTTTAATTAAGGGATAAAATCAGCATTTAATGTTGATGGATGTTTATCTTTGGTAATCAGAAGAATCTGAATTCTATAAAACCCTAGTTCCTGGTTTTTATTAGTGTTTTGATTTGAGATTGTTCTTAGAAAAATATCCCGATAATTTAGATTTCGTGTAACCATGCATAGGGTCAAAATATCATATTCGGAAAGTGATCACATGATCCTTCAAGAAGATCCAGACTATCCATCGATTTCAAAAATCTTCTTCTCCTCCCAAACCTAACACGAGCTTTTTTTGCGAGTTAGCTATGAAGATTTGTGATTCCAGAGTCGGCTCATTTTGTTGTGATCTTGCATGGGCATTGCCAAACTATTCTTTAGTTTGAGGATGTGTACACATGAAAGAGGTAGCGTTGCTCTTTAACGAAGGATTATGCACGTCGACTGACACATGGTGTTTTGTGGAAGTATTGTCTTTGGGGACATCTAGTGGCGACTCGCTTCATTGTCCATTAGGTTTTGTTATATGGGGTGGTACTTGGCGATAGAGGCTTCTTCGGATGCTTTTGTGACCTCAGTGACAGATCGTGGGTGTCTATAGGATTAGGAAGGAACAATTTCTTTCTTATGTTGATCTTTGGTTTTAAATGTAATTGTTGTTATTTGCCTAATATGGTAAGATACATTATGTATGCTTTATAGAGATGGTTTTGACTTTTTCAAGAAAATGATTCTAAATTATTTTAATAAAATGTGTTATTTATTTTAAAGAAAACGTTTTTCATGGCATTTATAAGATTAGCATAAGAATAAGTAGCAACAATAGTTCAATGTTGATTCATTCAAAGATGATTTTGAGAAGACGTATATGTTGCATTATCGTCTTGGTCATATAAATTAGAAACACAACCAACACACCCAACGGATATAATTTTGGAATCATTTGAACGGAAGTCTTATAATGAATATAAACCTTGTTGGTATTAGTGACGATACCACACCATCACCAATACCAACACGACCAAATCGTCATACCACCACCACCACCACTTAATTGACGTTGAAAACTAACCACCGATCACAACTATCATCACCACCATCTACATCATCACCACATCATCATTGCTGCTACCAGAAAACCAACACCACCGCATCATCCTACCACTACACATTTTATTACGTTTCTCTCTCTTCCCCCCCCCCCTCCTCCCTTTTTTTCATTACTATATTCATCATTTCCAGGACTTTCGACCGGAAATTATGATGTAGGTATGATGGGGCTTTAGATATGTTAATTGTGGTTTTCAGTTGTTGTTGCCACGGCAAGTATCTGCCACAATTTGCCACGATTATGTACACGGCAAATGAAGGGTGTACTAAGTTCCAGTTCAATAATCCGCCATTTGGAATGAAATCATATATGAGAAAATGAAGATTATTATTCTGAACACAAAATCCAAAAAGGCTTGCAAGGTTTACATGGTGTACGCTAGCTATGGCTTCTTCAAAGCTCCTTATTCGATCATCGACTTATGGTTATCGTTGGCTTCTTCAAAGCTCTTTTGACTAGAATATCGTCGGAAGTCCAACAACCTTTTGGAGAAAACTATACTTGATTCACAACTCTTTGCGAATCGATTTGGATGTCAATGAGAGAGCAACGATGTGGTGGGAGACGACTGTAGCAATGGTCGAAAGGAGGATATCCGTGTCAGAGGTAACAACCAGCGAAGTCTAGCTTAGGTGATGCCTGAGTTTGTAGCTGCCAAGATGGAAGACGTGGAGAAAACGTGAAGCCTCATGGCTTTTAGGGCTTCTTTTATTTAATTTACAGAAATGGTCCCCTAGAGTTTATTAAAATGTTAAAATATTATAAAATACAAAAATATGGGTATATTGGTGTTTGTTTAATATTTTAAAGTTAGACTGAAACTGCAGCCACATTGACCAAAACTGTTGATATGGCCAAAGCCAAACATGTCCTACAGCCTTCTTTAGTTCCAAATTACAAAGCCAAAAGGAGTCAACCAGTCCTGTCTCTTTTAATAAAAAGTCAAAAGGATTTTAATAACAAAATATCAAAGAATTGAATTCAAATATTATAAATCAAAAAAATAATGTCAAGATCATCAAGAAACAACAAATATTTCCTTTCGTCTAAGTCAAGCCTCGTATATATACTTCCACTTATTCTTATAACCAATCTTCCAAACTAAATTCATCAGATAGTCAAATATACCCACGAGAGACAAAAGACGAAAATACCCTTCAAGTATAAAAACCCCGCACCTATACTTTCGTGTAATTACACCATCCCTGTCTGCTGCATATAGGGAGCTTTTTTAGTCCTTTCATCAGACACTCTATTTTTCTCTTCAGTCCCTTTGGGCTTTCTTTTTCTGCCCAAAAGTTATCTGAATAAATAAAAAATATTGAAAACGTGATTATATCATATCGTGTTTATTTGGCTCCTTAAAAAGGGTTTTTGGCACACAAGGAGTTTTTCGTCATTATTACTGTCGATTTCCACCACTCGTGCTTCCCATTTTAATTTAGCTGTGATGCCTCTTGCTGATTCAATCAGAGCTGACGTGTCACGTAGTATCACCCACCCCTGCATTTCATTTTACAAAAAATAAATATTAAAATTTAAAACAACCCCATCATTTTTATTAATATATATATATATATATATATATATATATATATATATATATATATATATACCTCTGGACGGAGTAACCGATCTATCTCAAAGAAAAGATCAAGCAAACTGCAACGAGACTGTTTCTTTGTTTCAAGGCTTAAAAGTCCATCAGCATGCACCATATCATAACTCCTAGGGTAACTTGGAAACGCTTCACACCTAAAACAAAATAACAACATAAACAAATTGACAATAATAAACTTTTTTATCGAAATATTAATTCGATACAAAAACATACCAATCATGTAATACGCCTACGAAACCCCGGTCAAGGACAAGAGGAAGATGGTTGACCCCGGTTGTGGGGACCACATTCATAACCCAAACAGATTTTTTAGCATCCAATAAAGCAGAATTAAAACCACCAAAATGGGCATTCATATCTAGAACATTCCGGACCATGTTGTAAGGTGGAATAGGGTCTTCATCACCGGGTCTTTTTGGGTGATCTGAAAATATCAACGGAGAAAGTAGAGACCAGTAGTCTCCAACTAATGACCTCCAATTTAAATTATCTTCCATGAAATCATCCGCAAGTACACCTGTCATTATATGATATAATATTTTCAATGTTTTTCTTGAGATTTCAAATTATATAAAATTAATACCATGAACTGAAAGTTCTTTGGAGGTCAATGAAGCTCTAGAAGGCCATGTTGACCTTTCTTCAATGGGAATCCATCTATGGCTACGAGTTCCTCCAATGCATGATTCAAGTGGGTGGTAATATGGTAATTCTACATCATGCCCCTCTTTGCAGATTAAAGGACCCGATCCATGTTTCCTTTCAATCACAAAATAGCAACCTACTTTACTCTTTTTTTCAATATTAGACAATCTACTTTACTTTTATACCCAAAATACCAATGTAATTTTATTTCTTTACTAACAATAGCAATATATAAAAGGGTTAATTGCATAAAAAACCTTATATTTTCTGTTTTTTCCGGATTAAACCCTAACTTTATTTTTTCATGAAAAAGACCTTGCAGTCTTTCATTTTTAACCATATATAAAATTAGAAAAAGAAACTTGTAAGCATTTTACATGTTTTGGGTTAAAGAAATGTGAGTAATTGTGATGCTATTATGGGTAAAAGATAGTAAATATGCACATCACCCACAATTTCATGTTTTTTTTTTTATAATTTATTGGATATATAATATATCATGTGGTATAAAGATATAAAGAAGATATACCTAGAAGCATAACAAGTTTTCTTGCTAGGTTTTTTCCACACAACTGTTTTATCTTGTTGAGATAACAAATCCCAACATAAATCTTTAGCAAAATTACGCACAAAATCCCATCTTTTTAAATTTTGTTTATCACGCGCTTGAGTATTAGCATATGCTGATGTCCATACAAAGTATCCACCAGGTCTCAAAACTCGATCCACTTCTATCAAATGTACACCATCTGTAATGTAACAAAAAGTTGACCTTTTTAATTCAAGATTTCATAAATCTTTAAGAAATGATGAAAAATGATACCTTTTTTATCCCATTCAACACCATCCCATGCAGTGTGTATCATGTCAAATGAAAGAGAAGGAAATGGCAACTGTTTTGAAGCAAAGGAACCAATCATTGCAGGAAGACCTCTTTCAAGAGCTATTTCAACTTGACTCCCTGAAGCCTCATAGTTTGCAATACACATTGTTAAAACTTGTTTTGGGAATAAATGTGCTCCTAAACTACCATAGCCACACCCTATATCTAATACACTTCTCACCTGAAAAAAAAAACATCATTTTCACCATAAGTGGAAATGAATCTATATAACAATTAACAAATAGTCAAAGTTTGACTTACTCCAGCTTGAACAAGATATGATTCGTTTCTTAAACCAATCATTTCTGCAATCTGATGAGAGTAGTCTTCAATGTTGTCATCTACCATTGAAGATGCAAAACTAAATGAGAATTGGTCTTCATCTAACATCATCATCCTGCAACCACAATCACAATAACAATATTAAGAAGAAGAATAAGAATAAGAAAATGATTTGAAAAATAACGAATTCGTATCTTTTTTACTTTTATTTATTTACTGACCTTTTTGTCAAGCTTCCAGATGAAAGAACTTCTTGTGCAGTGATTTTAACATTGTCAATCCAGATAACATCTCTTCCAGTAGGCCATCTATGAGGGATTTTGTATTTAGGGGGAGCAAGAATTAAACAATTCTGTTTTGACATGGGCCCACAATGGCGATCATATTCTTTTCCTTCAGTGAAACCCATCTCAAGATTTTCAGTAATGTTGAAACAAGGTACGAAATTTTCGGATTCTAGTGAACAAAACTCAGATTCTTTAAACTTAGTGGAACCAAGTGAAAGCTCCCCAATGTCCCACAAATCTGACACAAGTTGTTCTTGTAGTCTTCTATACCCACGAATCATTTGACCTTTTGAAGTTGTTGTGAGGGATATTGTCCATAAGAATGACATGGAAAGACCAAGGATTACTATTGCAACTAAAGTGACTTTAAGAAAAAGTAAAGTTAACATGTGGCGATTTCTTATGGAGGTTAATGGATCAGATACAAGGATACCATTTTCAATGGTGTCTTGTTTGGATGATGAGTTATCTGAGAAAAGGAATTGGAATGGGTTTCTTAAAGATAAAGATACATAATCAGAGGGGAGTTTTGAACTTTTATCAAGATCTTCTTTATCGGTTTTAACCTTCATTTGAGAGTCTTCTACATAATCTTGAATGTTTCCTGAAAGTCTTCCACCACCCAAAACACCTCTATGAAGTGGTCTTGACATTTTCCTGAAGTTAAAAAGATAAATTCATATCACAAAAGTACTAAAAAGAGCTTCAATTTTGAAAGAAACAATAAGAAAGACAAAGTATCATTGGAATTAAGGTGTAAAAGCTTGATACAAGATCTGTTCATTAAATTACTCCAGCAGATCCAATAAACCCAAAGCCAATTCTCAACTTTTTCAATAAAATTTGCCAAGATCCTTAACCACTTTAGTGAGAAACAGAATTATGTATCATTCAAATTCACAATAGAACAGAAATTCAATTAGGAAAAAGCAACAAATGTAATATAATTTGCACATACATTTGCAAGGAATCCACAGAAAACAAGAGAAAACTTGGCTGAATGGAAAGGAATAATTTGTTTACCTTAATTAGATAGAGTATTCAAGCAAAATCAACAAATTTAGCCAATAATTCTGCAATACCCCATCATTTCATACACCGTTTCTCATTTACTCTGTCTTCGCTCGATTCTACTCCACTATTTCTTCTCTGCTTTTTTCTCACTCAAAAACACTGATTACATCTGCTATGAACACGCTTATGAGGATTTTTTAGTACAACTTCGGAGACTAAAGACAGGGGTGTAGATTTGATCTTGCAATTGGATCTAAAGCTCCCTCGTTAATACTAGTCACTTGCACACTCTATAATATGATGACAGATAGAGAGAGAGTTAGAGAGAGAGAGAGAGAGAGAGAGAGAGTATATGTATATTTTATACATACATTAAAACACATAGGGGTGACTCAAGTACACTTAGATGCGTAATGCATCAATGTCAACTTAAACGCGCTAATACTGGTTTCACACACTACTTTAGATGTTGGTAATTAATTATGATCACAAGGTCAATCAATGAGATTCACATCGAATTGATTAATTTAATCAATTATTTAAGCGCGATATTAACTTCATCGTTTACTTAATGTTACAGAGAGAGAGATAGAGGGAATCCATAGACGACTTTACTAAAACATAATTTCACACACATAGTAGAATATTGAATTAAATTAAAAGAGGGATGGGTGACTTTGGGATCAGCTGGGTCTATTAAATGTAGAAAAAAAGAGATTTACCTCGAACCACCACCACCACCACCGTCAGTGTGTAGATCTACCGCCGGAAATGCCGGTCAATACATACAATTTATATGTATGAGAGAGAAGATAATAGATACATTATACATATATGTATAGATATAGAAAGAGAGAGAAAGGTTTTTCGGTTTCACGCTTTACATCGGCATGAATTTATGAACACCAAGGAGGCTCCACCATATCTGATAAACCCTAGAAATTTGAAATCTGACCAAGGTAAATTCCAAAACTTTAAGCTCCTGAAAATTGGTACTTTGATTGAAAGCATAGAATCTTTGAAAACCCTTTGTACAGGGTTTTAGCCTTTTTACTGCTTCACTCCAATTTTTATTATTTATATTTATATATTCTCATGCTCATTGAATAATAAATTAATAATCTTTTTTTTGTAACAAAATGTGAAATAAAAGTTGTAATAACAAATTTTGAAATATAGAGTTAAAAATTTTGATGATTCAATTTATTAAAAACATATTATCATTAAAGTATTTGATACATAAAAAACAATTGGAATAATTATCTCACGTTTCGACCACCGACACATGAGAACACTTTTTGATTACCTTTTCTGTACAACATTCTACAGTTTTATTTATTATTCATTAAATTTAACAAGTTAAAAACTAAAATTATATTTAAAAGATATACATTGTGAATATTTTTGTACTAAAAAGTAAAAACGTATCATAGAACATAATATAAAATCACGTTTCAAGTTTTTATACAGAAACTATTATATATATATATATATATATATATATATATATATATATATATATATATATATATATATAATGAGAATGCAGTTCTTTTAAATATATACTATTTTTTTCTAACATTCGGAAGGGAAACAAGTGTACAACAAACTTAAATTGATGAAAAGGACATGATATTGAAATATAGATAAAAAAAATATATTACTTTATCAATCTCGTGTTTATCCATTGTATAATACTATGCTTATATGATATATTTTTATTTTTATTTTCGTTTATTTTTATTTTTTTTGCGGTATTCACAAAATAAAAATAGCTAATAAGCTAACTTATAACTTATTTTTTCATAAAGTTATTCAGACTAACGTTTTAACGAGTTTATTTAGTTTTCTATAATTGTCTCCAATATGTTTTTTAGTAATTATATAAAAAACGGAAACGACTTAAATGAATAATGTATTTCTTATTTTATAAATGTTAAGTTTTTTTTTGTTATTTCTTGTAAAATGAGTCATTTAACTTATTGTTTTGTACACATTTAATTCTTATGACCGGCTACTCTAAATTAATTTTTTAGTTTTACACAGTTAGTCCTTAATGTTTTTTTACAAAGTAATTGTTTATTATTTTTATACACATCAATCATTATGACCGATTTCTTCAGGTTTTACTTACGTGGGAAAAATATTAATGAAGTGTTTTTATATGTGGCTCGTATCTCACTTATATCAGTAACATAATTCACGAATCGGTCAAATAATGTTGGTGTCCTAGTTTTCTTCGAGAAGAATATGTCTTCGGCTTCGGTTCATCTATCTACATAGCATACAACAAGATTCATTGTGATTGCTTCCTCCCAACTCGATCTGGCACTTCCCAAACAAAAGAATTTTTGGTTACAAGATTCATTGTGATTTCTTCCTCCCAATCGGTCAAATAATGTTGATGCCCTAGTTTTCTATAATGAAGTGAAATTTAGTTGGTATTAGTATTGGAATCATTATGGCTAATCTATTATCTTCACCTCATGTAATGCAATTGATATTGTTATTGAATGAAATTAGTATTTGTATTAAATGTAGTTGATATTGTACTATAACAGTTACTAATATCAAAAGTACAACGTTATTAATGACACATGATTCCACTACCTAGGCGAGCCACATACGAAAACACATCATTAATGATTGTCCCACGTAGGATGTCACATAAACAAAACATGAAGAAATTGGTTATAAGGATTGAATGTGTACAAAAACAACAAGGACTTATTTTGCAAAGAAAAAATATTAAGGACTAAATATGTACAAATTGAAAACTTAACATGAGTAGTTGGTTATAAGAACTGAATGTATATAGAAACAACAAGTTCAATGGATTATTTTACAAGAAAAAACAATAATAATTAAATGTGTACAAAATGATAACTATATTACCCTTTTAGGTTGTTTTCCTAAAAAAAAAAATACTCAATCTTCTACATGTCATATTACACATTTCAGCTAGCTAATCAACTAGTTTTATCAAACGTCATTTTTTTATTGGTTAACAACTAACTTTTCAACTATTATTTAATTTTTAACTATTTACAAAACAAAACCTAAATATCTAATTTAATAAAATATATAAAATTATTTTGCCATACATGTGATTGGTTTCATGAAAGAACTAAAAAACAATGAACCAATGGTCATTATTGTATTCAAAATATCAATGGAAAAAAAATGAGATGTATATTTGTTAGTTAAAATATATAACTAATGCATCAACTAGTTATATATTCAAAATGGACTAATCAGCCAATGACACCACAAAGAATGGTGTCTAACCCTTTATTTTAGTTAAAAGAGTTCAATTTTTTTTAACAAACAACTAGAGGTACACAAATAGGAAATCTGATATGATTCGATTTGGATGACGTCATATTAAATTTGATCCGGATCCTATTCAATTTCGAGTGGATTTAGGTAGATTATTGGGTTTTAGTTCAAAATTAGTTTCTTAAAACTCATAAATATGGAAAACAAGAGTCTTTAAATTTCTAACTTAATAAGCTAGTTACAACCCACCAAGGATCATCTTGCAAGTTATGGAAAGATTAAATATCAACCAAAGAAGAAGATGAATAAATAACAACCTTTTGTAGTTCTTTGGGTCCTCTTGGTAGGCTTGGAAGTTGATGAAGAATGATGAACTTTATAGACACTAACAATAACTCAACTTGATGGACAATGCTAGTTCTTTTGCATAAAACTCTTAAGCTTTGAACCAAACCCAAGTATGGTTCAAAGAGAGCGTAAGCAAGTGGTAATTCTTCAAGTGCTCAAAGCAAAAGAAGATAGGTGAGGAGTGAAGAGATGCTCTCAACCTAATACCATAAGAACCACCACAAATGAAAGCCTTCTCACTAGTTAAAGAAAAAACTTAGTCTAAAGGTCCTTAACCATTAGGACCTTTAGACAACCTTGTCCCCATGCATGCACCCATGCTTAATACTTTACATTAAACAAATTGGAAACCCATTCTCCACCTCCTACACCATACTTTCGGCCTTATGATGAAAGAAGAAAAGAATTGTTTACATTTTAAAAACTCTAAGTTTATAAAATATAAACTTTGTCTCTAGGTAAAAGACAAAAGGATTTACCTAGTCCAAAATGTTGTACATGATTTATTAATTCATACCATATGAAATAATATGTTACTTGTAATTATAAAATAATTATTTCTATGAAATAAATATTTTTCCAATTAGTTATAAGAGTTTATTAAATATTTATTAAAATCAATTTCTAATAAATAATCAAGTATATCAAGTTGTTGTTAGTGTGACCCATTAATATCATATGATAATTAGCAATATCACTTTAATATGATTCTTGAGCATACTAGATCTTTCATAGATTTGGATTTGAATTTAGGCAAAATCTATTTGTTTATCATGGGTAAATCCAATTTAGGGATCAGGACTCGGTGTAGTCCATTTTTTGTGCATCCCTGCATATAACCGAAGGACGCCACTCAAAAAAAGAGGTTTACACTATGACACCACAAAAATTAAGGTGAAGCGTGTTTAACGAAGACAAAAGTTAACTGACGCACATTTACTTTTTATGTTTATCCAAATGTTATATTTCCTTGTTTCCTTCATATAAAGCTAGCTTTAGGAATACATATTTCCACCTTAATGCAATTTAGGAATATTTTGTTCATTTATTGTGAAATTTGGTACTAATTATGGAAAGAACCGAGCCAACATATGTACCAAAATGGTTAAAAATACTGTAGGCTTTAGCATATCTCACCAATCATCTTAATTACATCAATGATAATATTTATATCCATCTTCAATTTTAAACAAGATTGTCTTAAGATATCAAATTAATGATACTTTTCTTAATGGAGATGAACAAGGTGTATTAAAAATCATGAGAAACAAGTCATTAGCGAATGATTTAGGGCGTGCATTACATTCAAATTAAACAACTTCTACTTATGTAAGGGTTATTCTATTAACAGTTGTTTGTCTCTTTCAATATCTTATAATAATCTGGTCGATGTAGTTGTGTTATGAATTGAGACAAGGACATTGTGATTGTTGGTGGCAATGGTAACAATATTGATGTTCAACTATTTCCAGTTTTTTTTCCTTCTTTTTATACAATTTGGTGTTTTTGCTTTAGACCGTGCGTAATGGGTGGTTCTTATATCATCTTATTGAGTCATTGTATGTTAAGAAAACTTAAAAAGACCCAAATTACCTTCATGGATGGTGCTTAGAACGACCCTTAAATGTACCATGTGCGTGTGTGTATATGTATTACTTTACATTAAAGTTTTGCACTGTTATTTTAAATCATGAATTGATATGACTATTTATGTTATATACATGTTAAAACAATATCTTATTCTCATACAAAAACTACTAAGACCGACTTATATAAAGAATTGAACCTTACAGTATAAAAAACAGGCTCTCAAATTATTCAGTTGCAAAAGCTTTAATATATATATATATATATATATATATATATATATATATATATATATAATGACTTTTCTGAAAAAGTGATAGCTTTTAAAATAAAAGATTGAAAACATAATGGCATGAAAATTTTCTAATATTTAAAAGTAACAATATAATTTATATAAAAATAGATCAAATTACGCTAATCGTCCATGTGGTTTGGCTCAATTTATGCATTTTGTCCCTATGATTTATTTTCACAATGATTGTTCCTTGTTATTTTGAAATACACATTATTCATCTATGTCAGACATGAAATGACTATATCGTCCTTACCTATTATTATTTTGATTTATTTATTATTATTTTATAACTTATAATTAAAAAATTGACTCATTTATAAATTCACCATTGAAACACCCCTCACTATGATGATTTTTAAAAGAGATTATAAAATCATTGATTTTATATCAAAAAGTTTTTGATCTCAACTTATGCAGAAAAAATTGATCCCATTATGTTTTAAAATAATTTTAAAATATTTTTGTACAGAATT